AAATGTAACGGCGTAAACGAATGCAGACAGATTGTAAAAATATATACAGCTTTAATGGAGAAATAGACTTACAGAACCACCATTCCCGTGGAGACCAGGAAAGCAGAAGCAGCGACTGGGAGCACAAATTTATAGGCAAACATTAGCCTGAGGCGAACACGCCCCCTAAGGGGTGGGACTTATCCCTACATTCTTTTGTTGTGCATATTGATTCATCAGTTCACTGAGTAGATATTTACTGACTGTCAGTCCTCAGTGAGGGAATGGTAAACCCAGCAGCCTAAGACTGTCTTCCAAGTAGTATTTATTTGGGTTGATGTATTCTATAATAGTGTTACTTACTGTGGTGCTTTGAATGAGAATGGCCCCCATAGGCTTATATATTTGATTCCTTGGTTCCCTGTTGATGGAACTGTTTGAGAAGGTTTGGGAGGTGTGGTTTTGTTGGAGGAGGTGTGTCATTGGAAGTATGCTTTGACGGTTCAGAAATCTATGCCATTCCCAGTTAGCTTACTCTTTCTCTTCTGCCCTCCCTTTCTCCTCCTCCTTTTCATCCCCCTGACTTTTTCTCTCTACCTCATGCTTGTAGTGATAAGAGTGGTGGGGCTGCGTCCCCAGCACCTGGCCGCCCGCATGGCTAGCTTATGCCAGAAATAATTACACAGAAACTGTATTCTTTTAAACACTGCCTGGTCCGTTATCTGTAACCTCTTATTGGCTAGCTCTTACATATTAATCTAACCCATTTCTAATAATCTGTGTAGCTCCACGAGGTGTGTTTACTAGAAAAGATCTTAACCTGCGTCTGTCTGGAGTGGGAGAATCATGGTGACTCCCTGACTCAGCTTCTTTCTCCCAGCATTCTGTTCTGTTTACTCCACCCACCTAAGGGTTGGCCTATCAAGGAGCCTAGGCAGTTTCTTTATTAATAAGAAATCACTCCCACATCATTTCCCCTTTTTTTGTTTAAACAAAAAATAAGGAAAAGAAAATTTAATGCAGCTTTTTGCTGTTTGTGGGTTACACGCCACAGAGAAAAATTGTCCGGACTCAGCAGCAAGAAAAAACTGGCTGTTTTAAAAGGCCAGCTTTCTGGGCTGTGCCGCCATTGCAATCTCTGTCTGGCTCCTGCGGGAGACAGAGCTTTTGAATGGAGCATTTAAAATAAAGTGCTACGGCTTGCTTGATGGCAATGTGGACTGCTATGTGCCTGGAACTGTGTATGGCTCAGGGGCACCAAATGGCTCTGAGGCAGGAGTGACTCAACTCTGCCATGCTGAACTATGCTGGTCTCTGGCAGGAACTACCATAATTACTGTAATAACAGCACAATTAAAGTTTGGACTGGGCAGGACACAGGCAGTACCATATTACTTGTACATGATGCAACTTAAGTTTTTTAAGAACTGCTTAACATTTTAAGAAATGCTCCTGGATAATAAAAAAATTACAGAGTCACAATAAAACAGATTCAGACATAAAAGACCTTTATAGATCACATTGTTGGATAAATATACGTAGGCTTGAGAGAGAAAAGAAAAATATATAAAGAATAAAAGTAATGTCTTAAAAAAGAATAAAGTCTTTAAAGAGACAAAATACAGATAGTTAAGAGATTAAAAGAAATTAAAAAAATAAGCCACATAAAAATAAAAACTTCACAGAGAGTCTGGATTATGTACATTATGTTTTCTTTAAAATTTTTGACAATGAAGGAGCTAAATACAGAGAGACGTTTCATTATATGGGCTGTTAAGCTGAACCTACACATATGTTCTAAAGATATCTTGACTTTAGAATTTGGGTCTAAGGATATGATTCTTTGAAAAGAGTCTTCTTTTGTTTTCACAGAGGATGAGACTCTATGGATTTCTTCTATCCCAATTTGGTATTATAGACCACAACCTCCTGAAAAAATTGCTGTGAACACCCTCAAAAAATTACTTCACTCAACTGCCAACTGAGATAAACCTGGCACACAGGTTACACCCTAAATGATCTGATTAGCAGCGCCCCCATTCAGCAAGAAACAGTTTGAAGTGAAAAAAACTGCACCCATGTTCCCAAAATATTGCTTATAAATGTTCTTGTACATTTAAAGGGGGATATGATATAGATATGAATAATTTGCATTGGTATGGCTTTTAAGGTCAATATTGTTATATGTATATGTATTTCTGATCTTGATTAAGGTATTGTCATTGTGTAGTTCATTTAAAATGTAATGTATAATTAGGAAATATGGGTTGCTAATGGATAACCATAAATAATAGTCAAGTTTGTAGTCATGTTACTTAGATTTTCTAGATATATAGAGATATATTTCAGATAGGCATTCTTCATATCTCTCAAAGGCTGCAGAATATGGCATTTAAAATATTTTAATAACTTAGGACTTTTCATGACAATGAGACATGTCTGCTCCTGGCGGCACCAATCTATTTCAAGAGGAAGATGGGCATCGAAGAGGCTCATTATGGAGTTTGATAGCCATTTGTGCAAGAAACTGCTCTTGCCTGCACTGATGCATAAACTGGACACAAAGAACCCACAGAGAGAGGACTATTAAACTTGCTTAAAGGTGAGATGGTCTTTCGGGGTTCCTGCTTCATAAAAGAATTCACGAGACATTCTGCAGGACACAGCAGAAAGTGACTGAACTGTCTTTGAATTTTCCTGCTTCATGGAAATGTATCTGGATACTATGGGCCTGAAGGTCGAAGATGGATGCCCCAACAGTACAGAGGAACTTTGGGTGATTGTCCAGGCAGCGAGATGTCTCTGTCATTTCTAGAGCTTTGGATTTCTTGTTTGCTTAGGTTAGGTAATATTATATCCTTCTGGAGTCTTTGATGGAGTTGAAGAATGGATACATAGTTGTAGTTTTCCTTAGTTATGATAAAACATAAAGTAGATAATAAATATTGTAACTGTAATTCTTACTTGATAACTGTTTTGTTATATGTAATTTTACTATGTTAAAGTTAAAGCCTTCTTTTTTGTTTAAACAGAAAAAAAGGAAATGATGTGGGAGTGATTTCTTATTAATAAAGAAACTGCCTAGGCCCCTTGATAGGCCAACCCTTAGGTGGGTGGAGTAAACAGAACAGAATGCTGGGAGAAAGAAGCAGATTCAGTGAGTTGCCATGTTTCTCCCACTCCAGACAGACGCAGGTTAAGATCATTCCTAATAAACGCACCTCGTGGAGCTACACAGATTATTAGAAATGGGTTAGGTCAATATATAAGAGCTAGCCAATAAGAGGCTGGAACTAGCCAGGCCAGGCAGTGTTTAAAAGAATACAGTTTCCATGTAATTATTTCGGGTAAAGCTAACCGTGCGGGCGGCCAGGCGCCAGGGACGCAGCCCCGCCGCTCCCTATCACTACACATGTTTGTGAGTCAGATGTGAGTTCTCAGCTCCAGGACGTGCCTGCTTACTTGGTGCCACATTCCCCAACATGATGACCGTTGACTCTAATCCTCTGGAACCATGAACTTCAAACTAAATGTTTTCTTTTATAAGTTGCCTTAGTAACAGTGTCTTATAACAACAATAAGACACTTGCTTTAGGTAGGAACATGTGGTGCATATGTAACAGATATTGTAGTACTGTATTTTATCAGTGTAGCAAAATACTTTAGATAAATTTTTTGGACAATATTTTTATATTATACATTACTAAGGAGTTGTTTGGGGACTGGAAAAGTAAGTCAGTGGTTAAGAGCACTTGCTATTTTTTCAGAAGATGTGGGTTCAGTTCTTAGCACATCACAGTTTCAAGGGATCTGATGCCGTCTTCTGATTTCCATGGATACCCGGTACACATACATGTAAGCAATACATTTATATACATAAAATAAAATAAAATAAATAAATCTTTTAAAAGAAGTAGGAATATAAGGCATCATCTTTGAATATTTTAACAAAATCTTTGCTAATCATTAATGCTTATAATAATAATAAAGGAGGACTGTTTACTTGCCACAAACAAAATAAAAATGGTAACTACTATTGATTAACTGTTCCTTTTTATGCAAACATTATATGTTTTCTTAGACTACTTCTAAGAAATTGAGATTGCACTGTTTCTATTGCAATGTGATATCATTTTAGAAGCCGTGTTGATTATCTTTAGCAGTCGGGTTAAATCTAATTTCTATTAGAAATAATAGAAATAATTTACTTCTATTAGGATTATCTTCATTCCTTCTACATCAATTATGATTTTTTGACATAGGCTAGTTATAATTATATCACAATTACATAAATGGAATGATGGGGAATGACTATTTGCATATAAATAAATTCAGACATTATTATATGGGATATAACAGATAAAGGACTTTGAAGTTTCCACTTTTTTTTCTCTGAAAACCGGAAAGCCACACAACAGGACCACTGGAAGGAAGAAATGGAGACCACAGGTTCCTCTTTTGGGAGTTTATCTAAATAATCTTGGGCATGGTCCTGACCCCCCCCCAGGAAGGGGTCAGGACCTGGCATTCTGGGATTTGGAGTGCTTACTCTCAGGGTCAGGGGGCTAGGATAGATGCAAGGTGCTGGGGCCTAAGCTCCCTACTTAACACCAATATGAGATCTGTGTCCATTTTTTGCCATGACAACTCTCTCTGGAACATGTTGAATTTAATTCTAAAAAGTGTAACCATGGGCAGGAGGTGGGATGCTGTGAACCTGCTAGCAGGCAGTGAATTATTAAATGTTCTAGAGAAGAACTTTCTGTGAGCTGCAAGCTCAGTGCTCTCTCTCTTACTTCTCACTTTGGGAAAATAGTTCTGGAGAGAAGAGATAGAGCTTGCAAGTTCTCCTTTAAAAACATAGGCAGCAAAGAATCATGAAACCAGGGACAAGAACTTCATTTTCTATAAAAGCAAGCAAACAAACAAAAATCGTCTATTTGGTTTGGAGGAACATTCATGAAACATTATGTCTAATTGTTAATTTCCTTTATAATTAAAAAGAGGAAACCTTTTTGCAGCGAACTATCAGAACTGCTCTCAGTCTCAAGAGAAGTTGAATGAAGATATCATTACGTAAGTCCAGATGAAGAATTATGTTCCTACTTCTTGCTTGCTACTTTATCCAATCAATATCTATAAGAAAAAAACTGGAAACCTTAATCATTCACATTAACATAAGTGGTTAAAGTAACCATGCTTTTCTCTCATCCCATATATAGTATAATGAGTACATAATTTTCCCATATACTTAAAGGGTATGAGTCTGGGGAGATGGCTCCTTCAGTAAGGTGCTTGCTGTGTGAGTGGGAGGAACTGAGTTCAGGCCCCCACCACCCTCTCTAAAGTCAGGCATGAGGGAGACAGATTCTTGAAGCTCATTAGTGAGACAGTATAAACAAGTCAGCCAGCTCCTCATTCCGCAAAATACCCCGTATTAACAGATAGGATGGAGCACAAAGAAACAACTAACGTTGACCTTTGGCCTCTGAATGTGAAAGCACACACGTGTGTGAACATAAGCATAAATACTTTACAAACACAAAAGAATTAAAAATAAAAAGTATGTGGTCATATTTTCTGAGTTTTATGTGGCAAAACTGTCATCAACAGAAAAGTAAGGATCTGTGTTTGTATTGCCAGTTTTGCCCCCTAGAACTGCGGTACCTCAATACCTCTGTTAAAAGATAAAGGATTTATTTTTCCTTTCCTAAAAAAAATTATTTTCTTTTTAACTGTTATAGAAAAATGCACTTTAAATATATTTTAGAATTTGAAAGAAGAGCTAGCAATAGAATTTCCTGGGAGAGCTTGGCATGTGTAAGGCCTTGGGTTTGAGGCTCAGCATCACAAAAAAGAAAAACAAAGGCGTTAGAAGGAAGCGCGGTGGAAGAGGAATCGAGGGAAACAGTGAAGCGAGTATTTCTTAAAATAAAGTTTAATTGAGACTAAGTTGTACCCAGATTAACAATCACAAAGTCTGGATAATAGAAAGCCATAAGCATTCTGTTTTGTAAATCTGAGGTGACAGAAAGCTTGACTTTACTCACCAGCACGTGCAGAGTTAGTGCTTCTCTCTACGGGGTTTCTTCACAGGATTTCCATACTTTATCACTAAGCTTTTTAAAATCTGCAAACAGACCAGAACACCTAGTATTTTCTCTGGCCCTTACTGTTCATTTATTTGTAGTCTAAAATGGTCTGTACAACTGGGACTTAGAATTCTCCATGTAGCTCAGAGTAGCTTTGAACTCATGGTCATCCTTCTTTTAGGTCTATCTAAGAGTAAAGTCCTTAAGCACAGCCTCATGTGTCTCCATATATACAAACTAATTGAAGTTAAATAAATTCTAAATCCACTTCCTTGTCGCCATCATTTTTTACGGACTCAGTGTGTGTGTGTGTGGGGGGGGGGAATGCTCCTGTTCACTGATGTTCTGTGATGTACACATTTTCTAAACTGTAGCACTGTTTTATGATTGAGCTGAAGAGCTCTGTACAAATTCTGGATATGTGTTCTTTCCCAGATTTGAAAGGCAAACTGTTCTCTCCCACCACACTTTCATTTTCTTAAAGACTTATTGTGAAACACAAAAGTTTTACATTTTGATGAATTTCAATTTATTGAGTAGTTTCTTTATTAATTGTGCTTCAGAACTTTAGAATTCTTTGAGAATCCCAGAATCACTGCTTTTCTTGAAGACGTTTGCATGGTTTATTCCTTACCTGAAAACCTGTGGTTCAGTTTGACTTACTTTATGACGAAGGGAGGATTCACCCTCATCTTTCTCACACGTTGTCCTCGCATATTTTTAAGGACACAGCTATACTTTCTCACCCACACAACTTGTTACTTTTGCTAAAAGCCAACTATCTGTAACTGTAAGGATTAATTTCTAACTTCTAAAATTTTGTAATTATCAATATATTTGTCTTTACACTAGCACCATACAGTGTTCTTCTTTACTGTAGAATCGTTTTAATTAATAAATAAAATCAGAAATTAAGGCCCAGAACAACTTTATGTTTAAAAATGATCCTGGATCTTCTGAGTCCTACAAACATTTTAAAATGTCGTTGTCAATTTTTTAAAGGAAACTATTAATTTTTTTTTTACACAGGGTCTGTCTGACTATGTATCCCTGGTCAGCATAAAAATCTCTGTGTACACTAAGCTAGCTGGCCTGACCTCCCCGAAATCTACCTGCCTTTGCCTCCTGATGGTATTGAAAGTCTGTACCACCATTCCACAAGATGCCACTTTGGCTTGATGCTTAAGACTGCTTATCAACAGCAAAGACATAAACAGAAGCACAAAAATGAGACCCGCAGAATGGTAGGGTTTTGTTCAGAAAACTAACTAAGATGACAGAGTAGCCTTTTTAAACCTCAATTGGGAATGCTGCCAAGTTTAGTACTAGACAAATCTGTAACTAAATCTTCAATGGACACCAGTCTTATTTTATTCTTTAGTTCTAAGTGCTTAGCTCCCTTGACTTCCAACCACTTACTTTCTTTGTAGGTTCTTTCTCTTCAGGCTAAATACCACCTGTCTGCAGAATTCCTGAGCTAGGCCTTGTCCCTCTTTTCTTAACCTATAGTTTAATATTTGTCTCCCAGAGTCATTTTGCTCAGGTTGTTTGCTGGAATTCTGCCTAGAAGCTCTGGCTTCCAAATTCCACCTCCAGCCCTCTCCAGTCCTAGAGTCCCATTTCAGGACATTGAATATGTCCAAACCAGAACTGTTGATAATACCTGAAAATCTGTCTTATTTCATGAAGAGCACTCTCCTGACTACACTGCTCAACCTAAGCATGCTATCATCTGTGCCAGCCCTTCTAACTCATACTTACACACCAGTTACTCTGTGAACTATCCCATTTGCTCCCTTCAAGTACACCTGAACCGTTCTTTTATGCCCCACTGTCCCCAGAATGTCAGTATCTGTATTGCACATGAGTACAGCTCTAGAACCTCACACAGTACATTCCCTATATGTGCTTATTAAATAACCTGTTTCTTACCTATCCTCCTAGTTAGGTGTTGGCTTAGTCAGGGTTTCTATTACTGTGAAGAGTGAAGAGACAAGATGACCATGGCAGCTCTTATATAGGAAAACATTTAATTGTAGCTGGCTTACAGTTTCAGAGGTTCAGTCCATTATGATCACGGTGCGACATTGTGGCATGCAGGCAGACATGGTGCTGGAGAACGAGTTTTACATCTTGACCTGCAGACAACAGGAAGTGGTATGAGTCACTGGGCGTGGCTGGAGCACATATGAAACCTTAAAGCCTGCTTCCACAGTGATGCATTCCCTCCAAAAAGGCCATACCTACTCCAACAAAGGCACACCTTTTAATAGTGCCACAACCTACGGGCTTATGAGGGTCAATTACATTCAAACCACCGGAAGTGTTAAAACTCCTTTCAACTCTTCCATAGTATGATCCATAAAATGACCACCCACAATATTTAGCCTTTACCTTAACATAAGTTCCTTACATTGAATTCTAGAATAAGGGTTACATATGTACACACACACACACACACACACACACACACACACACACACACACACCCTCTGTTAGTTGTTTGTGAATAGTAACATTTTTTCCCCTCTTATTCCACTTGGACCTATCTTAATTACCTCAACGTAACATCTCCACCTGAAAGTATTATAAATACTGGAAGAAGATAGAATAAACAGGTTTTAAAAGTAGTAGTTTCTACTAATAACATCAAAAATATGTTCTAGATGCTGTAAAGAGAAACTTAGAATATTATTTAATATTTGTTCATTTTGTTATTATTGGTGCTTTTAGTTATTTTCTAGGTTCCAGAATAAATTTCATCAAATATTAGCTCTCTTTTCTATTTCCAGTAGTTGCTGACGGATTTTCTTTTGTCTTATCACAGGGGAAAGCAATGCTTCTACCGAATGTTCCAATCATCTTTCCTCAGGTTGACTCTGTACTGTGTTGGGATAAGAGCAACTGCCCTCATTTTTGGCTACATACATGTAGATTTCCTTCTGGGTCATAACCGCCCAGCAAACCAGAAGAATTCGAAAACAGTTCTTTCATTCAATTTTGGTACAAGACATCAGCTGGTTTGATGGCAGTGTCATCTGTGAACTTAACACTCGCATAGTTGGGTAAGGGAAATACAGTTAGTGTATGGACTTGGTGTGTGCGTAAATGAACCACAGGAACCTTCTTTGTTGCAGTGACATCAACAAAATCTGTGATGGCGTTAGATATAAGATGGCACTGCTGTTTCAGAACATGTCTGGGTTTTCTGTTGGCCTGGTGATGAGCTTAATAAAGAGCTGGAAGCTCTCCCTGGTGCTTCTGTCCACATCTCCTGTCATAATGGCTTCGTCAGCAATGTGGTCAGGGCCTGGCAGCAGCAGAATGACTAACCAAGTTTGCAAAAGAGAGAGGGGTGTTTCTTTTTATTCTGTATGTCCTAAAGTATAAGAGAGATTGTTGACCTCTGATTATTTAACCAGTAATTACTTTTATATCTTCAAATTATATGACTAAGATGTGATTTTCATTAATATCCTACCAGCAGAAAAACTAGCCTAGTGCTGCTTCAAAGAGCAGCAAAGGTAGGGAATGACTACACATTGGACATTAAGTTGTTGCTGACAGAGCTTTGTGAATTCTAAATCCCCCAATGAATGCACTCAATGGAACTGCGTAATATCAGTCTCTTCAGTTTTACACTTTACATACCTTTAAATGGTTCAGAATATATATTAACACCTAAGTAAACATATTTCAGCTTTCTACACAAGTTTCTATTTTCATTCTCAATTGAGCAATGTTCTAGTGTATGTACCAGAAGATTGTGATTTTATCCGCAATCTGGCTTTGAAGCTAGTGTGTATGTCTGTGTATCTCTGTGTAATCTCTCAGAATTACATGTCTCTGCAGCTCTCCAGTGGCCATGCCCAGTACTTACATCAAAGTCACTATTACTTTTAATTTTTTAATACTCATTTTTCAAAAATACAATTCATAAAATCTCTTGGCTCCCTTGCTATCATTATACAAGTCCAATCAAAGATTTCTAGCAATAAAAATATTCCATGATTGACTGATTTCTTAAAAGGAAGCTTGGATATTTATACAACAGATATTTTTAAAGATTTCTATGAACATATATTAATTTTACATAACAATATGTTTTATTCATACATGTATAAAATGTAGTTTATCATATTTACCTCAATGCCCTTTCTTGTCACCCTCACTCTCAACCCCTTGCACTAGTCACATCTTCTGTGCACGTGACCCAATGTGTTTCAATGGGGTTGCTTGCAGCGGTTGAATTAAATAAGCACCAAAGATAATAGGTATTTGAACAAGTTTAATAACAAAACCAGACTCACGAAACCAAGGTTCCAGCGGAGTAGCCGGCGGAGACAGGAGAGGAAGGGAAGGGGCGCGCAGCCTCTGCCCGCCCAATATATCAGTAAACATACGCCCGAGGGCAGCCCGCCCCCAAGGGGAGGGCTTATCCCTACAGTTGCTCAACACAGTATGAGTTCACCAGAGTATGAAGGGTTCTTTGGGGGAACAGGGATAATGTACATTGGCTATCCCTCTAAAAAACATTGGACAATAGGGCTGTAATATTCTGGCTTCTGGTGTTGACCTTGTACTCCTCATTTTTATTTCAAGATTGCATGAAATAAGGATCACTTGGTAGGAAAAATACCTAGAATGTGTTACCAGGAGCAGATTCTTCTCTGCTCATGAGAAGATGGACAGAAGCTATAAAGGGGTGCACAGGGGTGTTAAATTTCACTATTGTACTAATGTAAGAGCAAGCAAATGAGAGCCAAGGTTCCCCCAAATGACAAGAGGCATTAGGTTGGATGATCCCCTTCAGTTCAGTTTAATTTGGCAACTGTTTATGAATGTTCAACACTGCACACTGTGCAAGGATTAGCAAAGTGTGGTGTTTGCCCTCTAGGGATTTTCTGTGAAGATAATTGTCTTTTTTAAGTAAACTCAGAAAATGAATAGTTGTTTTCGATCAACTTGACACAATCTAGAGTCTTCCTAGATGGAGCTTCAATTGAGAAAATGTTCCATAAGATTCAGCTTTAAGGCATTTTCTTAATTAGCAATCAGTGGGGGAGGGCCAAGTCCATAGTTGATGTTTCCATTCCTCAGCTAGTGGTTCTGGGTCTCTGAAAAAGCAGGCTGAGCAATTCCTGTGGAGCAAGCTAATATGCAGCACCCCTCCATGGACTCTGTATCAGCTCTTGCCTCCAGATCCCTGTCCTGCTTGAGTTCCTGTCTTCATTGCTTTGAATGATGCTATGTTATGTTATGTTACGTTACGTTACGTTACGTTATGTTATGTTGTTATGTTGTTATGTTGTTATGCTATGCTATGCTATGCTATGCTATGCTATGCTATATTATGTTACACGGAACTGTAAACAAAATTAACCTTTTCTCCCCAAGTTGCTTTTGGTCATGGTTTTCCTCACAGCAATGAGAACCCTAATCAAGACATTAGTATTCAATTTAGGCCTTCACATGACTTTACCTGCCACTCAAGCTTCCTGTACACCAAATACACTCCAATGGCAGGAAATACACTTTAGTATTTTGGAAACAGGTAGCTAGTTACACGAGTAGACAATATCAAAGCCCCTACTTGAATTGTATTACTGTTGTTCCCTCTCACCAAACTATTTTACTAATTAAGACTACAAAAGCTTGACAAAAGGATCATAATTGAGGAAGAGATGCTTGTTATTTCAGGTTTTCGAGAAATCAGATAGCCCCATAGTCCCACCTACTGCCATCAATATTAATGATCTCCTTTTTCACTTTGACTCTCACCTGCTAGTGTTGAGGATAACGTATTCGCTGAACATACTCCAGCATGTATGAACAGTAATAGTTTTAAGACCATTCCCCAACATATGAGAAACCAAGCTCCTCTTTCTGCCATACTCCTGTGATCTATGTCCCATGGAATACTTTCTTTGTGCATAAGAAAAAAGTCAATTCAAATCAGATTCACTAAAATCAGTGTCCATAAAACTAATGTTTCTAATGTTCTTTCCCAAATCAGATATTTCCCCATTGTACCAATAAAACTACACACAGCTGAAAGAAGCTTTTCAAATACAGAGAAAACAGTAGGGTTTTTCTGGCAGAAGGCAAAGTCAGATAAAGATGTAGATACTGGGTCATGGACAGCCTCAGGATTTAAATTGTGTGTGGGTAAGGAGCCCGGCAAATTGTCACTTCCTCAGATTCTTGAGTGGTTAATGCCCAGATTTCGTTTCTTGCTGCTGTGACAAACAACTCTGACAAAGGCAACTTAGGAGAGGAAGGGTTGTGTTTGCTCACAGTTCCTGGTCCATCACAGCAGGGGCGTCAAAGCAGCAGTCAAGGGCAGAGAGAAAAATGTTGCATGCTTGTGCTTAGACTCCTCCTTTCCTATGCAACCCATGACCAAGGGAATGGGACCACCTGGAATGAGCAGGTGTCCCCACCTCTATTAATATAATCAAGAGATTGCTCAACAAGCATGCTCACAGGTCAGACTGAATTCTAGATTTGTCAAGCTGACAATTTAAAACAAGCCATCAGGGGGTCTGAAGAGATGGCTCAGTGGTTAAGAGCACTGCCTGCTCTTCCAAAGGTCCTGAGTTCAATTCCCAGTAACAGCATGGTAGCTCACAACCATCTGTAATGAGATCTGGTGCCCTCTTCTGGCCTGCAGGCAGACATGAGACTACTGTATACATAATAATTAAATAAATAAAATCTTTTAAAAAAAAACCTAGCAATCAGTTTTGTGTTGCTGTGGCATAAATAACAAGAGAAAGAGAGTTTTATTTTTGGCTCATAGCTTATTTTATTCCATCATGACAGGATAAATAGAGGGGAGAGCCAGTGGTGGTGAAAAGGTATGGCTGGGCCTCCTAGCTCCAAGGACCAGGAAATAGAGAAAAAAAAATAGCCGGAAGTGAGCTCTACCCACCTGTAGGAGCCTATGTCATCAGCTAGACCCCACTTCTAAAGATCCCATAGACTCCCCCAAAATATGACTAGCTCAGCCTCTGGGGAACATTTCACATTCAGACCTCAGCGGATTCATTCTTCGTTTAACAGTGGTTGTGTTTACTGCAGATAGTCATCTCACTGATCAGTAAGGAACTTGATGCCTATTCCAAAGCCGGGGCTGTAGCTGAAGAAGCCTTGTCATCAGCCCAGGAGAAAGAAATTCAAAGGTCTGTACCTTTAACTGTGACAAAAAGTGCTTGGTTTTGTTTTCTCCAAAGGTGACTTGGTGTTTTGTCTTTGTAAGGTATACACAGAATCTATAAGATGCAAATCTTGCTGGTATAAAGAAGGCTGTAGTTAAAACTCTCTTGTCGCCATCTACTTCTTCGTGAATGGAGCCTATGGACCGGCTTTTTGGTATGGAATCTCCTCAGTTTTCAGTGGAGAGCCTGGCTACACCAACTATCCTTTTTGTAAGTCTTGTTTGAAAACAACGGTGACAGGCTCAGGCATCTTTACTTACCTAGAGTTTAGTAAGAAAATTTCATTTTGAATGAGGATGAATTTTCAAAGATGTTTTAAGCTAATATTTTTCCTTCTCTAATTTGGATGTACTTTTAGATTCTAATATATAGAGAA